GGGGTGTGGGGGTGTGGGTGGTCTGTGTGTGGGGGGTGTGGGGGGTCTGTTTGGGGGTGTGGGGTTTGGGGGTTTGGGGGTGTGGGGGGGTCTGTGTGGTGGGGTGGGGTCCTGTTTTTGGGGGTGTGGGTGTTTGGGGGGTCTGTTGTGGTGGGGGGTTGGGGTCTGTGTGGTGGGTGTGGGGTGTGGGGGGTCTGTGTGGTGGGGGGTGTGGGGTGTGGGGGGTCTGGTGGTGGGTGTGGGGTGTGGGGGGGGTCTGTGTGGTGGGGTGTGGGGTGTGGGGGGGGTCTGTGTGGTGGGGTGTGGGGGGGTCCTGTTTTGGGGGTGTGGGGGTTTGGGGGGTGTGGGGGTCTGTGTGGTGGTGGGGTGGGGGGTCCTGTTTTGGGGTGTGGGGGTTTGGGGTGTGGGGGGGGTCTGTGTGGTGGGGGTGTGGGGGGGTCCTGTTTTGGGTGTGGGGGTGTGGGGTTTGGGGGGTGTGGTGGGGGTGTGGGGGGTCTGTGTGGTGGGGGTGTGGGGGGGTCTGTGTGGTGGGGGGTTGGGGGGTCTGTGTGGTGGGGGTGTGGGGGGTCCTGTTTTGGGGGGTTGGGGGTGTGGGGTGTGGGGGGGTCTGTGTGGTGGGTGTGGGGGGGGTCCTGTTTTGGGGGTTGTGGGGTTTGGGGGGTGTGGGGGGTCTGTGTGGTGGGGGGTTGGGGGGTCTGTGTGGTGGGGGGTGTGGGGGGGGGTCTGTGTGGTGGGGGGGTGTGGGTTGGGGGGTCTGTGTGGTGGGGGTGTGGGGGGTCCTGTTTTGGGGGGTGTGGGGATTTGGAGGGGTTGGGGGGGTCTGTGTGTGGGGGTGTGGGGGGGTCCTGTTTTGGGGTGTGGGGTTTGGGGGGTGTGGGGGGTCTGTGTGGTGGGGGTGTGGGGGGGGTCTGTGTGTGTGGGGGTGTGGGGGGGGTCCTGTTTTGGGGGTTGTGGGTTTGGGGGTGTGGGGGTGTGGGGGGGGTCTGTGTGGTGGGGTGTGGGGGTTTGGGGGGTGTGGGGGGGTCTGTGTGGTGGGGGTGTGGGGTTTGGGGGGTGTGGGGGGGGGTCTGTGTGGTGGGGGGTGTGGGGTTGGGGGTGTGGGGGTTGGGGGGTCTGTGGTGGGGTGTGGGTGGGTCCTGTTTTGGGGGGTGTGGTTTGGGGTGTGGGGGTGTGGGGGGGGTCTGTGTGGTGGGGTGTGGGGTGTGGGGGGGGTCTGTGTGGTGGGTGTGGGGGTGTGGGGGGGCCTGTGTGGTGGGGTGTGGGGGTGTGGGGTCTGTGTGGTGGGGGGTGGGGGGTCTGTGTGGTGGGGTGGGGGGGGTCTGTGTGGTGGGGGGTGTGGGGGGGGTCCTGTTTTGGGGGTGTGGGGTGTGGGGGGGGTCTGTGTGGTGGGGTGTGGGGTGTGGGGGTCTGTGTGGTGGGGGGGGGGGGGTCTGTGTGGTGGGGGTGTGGGGGGGTCCTGTTTTGGGGGTGTGGGGGTTTTGGGGGTGTGGGGTGGGGGGGTCTGTGTGGTGGGGGTGTGGGGGGTGTCTGTGTGGTGGGGGGTGTGGGGGGTCCTGTTTTGGGGGTTGTGGGGGTTTGGGGGTGTGGGGTGTGTGGGGGGTCTGTGTGGTGGGGGTGTGGGGGGGGTCTGTGTGGTGGGGGGTGTGGGGGGGTCTGTTGTGGTGGGGGGGTGTGGGTGGGGTCCTGTTTTGGGGGTGTGGGGTTTGGGGGGTGTGGGGGTGTGGGGGGTCTGTGTGGTGGGGTGTGGGGGTGTGGGGGGGTCTGTGTGGTGGGTGTGGGGTGTGGGGGGGGTCTGTGTGGTGGGTGTGGGGGGTGTGGGGGGTCTGTGTGGTGGGGGGGTGGGGGGTCTGTGTGGTGGGGGTGTGGGGGGGTCCTGTTTTGTGGGTGGGGTGTGGGGGGGTCTGTGTGGTGGTGTGGGGGTGTGGGGGTCTGTGTGGTGGGGGTGGGGGGGTCTGTGTGGTGGGGTGTGGGGGGGGTCCTGTTTTGGGGGTGGGGGTTTGGGGGGTGTGGGGTGTGGGGGGGTCTGTGTGGTGGGGTGTGGGGGGTGTGGGGGGTCTGTGTGGTGGGGTGGTGGGGTGTGGGGGGCCTGTGTGGTGGGGTGTGGGGTGTGGGGTCTGTGTGGTGGGGGTGGGGGGGTCTGTGTGGGGGTGTGGGGGGGGGCCTGTGTGGTGGGGTGTGGGGTGTGGGGGGTCTGTGTGGTGGGGGTGGGGGGTCTGTGTGGTGGGGGGTGGGGGGGTCTGTGTGGTGGGGGGTGTGGGGGGGGTCCTGTTTTGGGTGTGGGGTGTGGGGGGGTCTGTGTGGTGGGGTGTGGGGGTGTGGGGGGTCTGTGTGGTGGGGTGGGGGGGGGTCTGTGTGGTGGGGGTGTGGGGTCCTGTTTGGGGTGTGGGGTTGGGGTTGTGGGGGGTGGGGGGGTCTGTGTGGTGGGGGTGTGGGGGTGTCTGTGTGGTGGGGGTGTGGGGGGTCCTGTTTTGGGGTTGTGGGGGTTTGGGGGTGTGGGGTGTGTGGGGGTCTGTGTGGTGGGGGTGTGGGGGGTCTGTGTGGTGGGGGGTGTGGGGGGTCTGTGTGGTGGGGGGTGTGGGTGGGGTCCTGTTTTGGGGGGTGTGGGGGTTTGGGGGGTGTGGGGGTGTGGGGGGGTCTGTGGGTGGGGGTGGTGGGTGTGGGGGTTGGGGGTCTGTGTGGTGGGGTGGGGGTTGGGGGTGGTGTTGGGGGGGTCTGTTGTGGTGGGGGTGTGTCTGTGTGGTGGGGGTGTGGGGGGTCCTGTTTTGGGGGGTGTGGGGGTTTGGGGGGTGTGGGGTGTGGGGGGTCTGTGTGGTGGGGGTGGGGGTGGGGGGATCTGTGTGGTGGGGGTGTGGGGGGGTCTGTGTGGTGGGGGTTGGGGGTCTGTGTGGTGGGGTGGGGGGGGTCTGTGTGGTGGGGGTGTGTCTGTGTGGTGGGGGGTGTGGGGGGGTCCTGTTTTGGGGTGTGGGGGTTTGGGGGGTGTGGGGTGTGGGGGGGGTCTGTGTGGTGGGGTGTGGGGGGGTCCTGTTTTGGGGGTTGTGGGGGTTGGGGTGTGGGGTGTGGGGGGTCTGTGTGGTGGGGGTGTGGGGTGGGGGGGGGTCTGTGTGGTGGGGGTTGGGGGGTCTGTGTGGTGGGGGTGTGGGGTGGGTCCTGTTTTGGGGGGTTATGGGGTTTGGGGGTGTGGGGTGTGGGGGGGTCTGTGTGGTGGGGGTGTGGGGGTTCCTGTTTTGGGGGGTGTGGGGGTTGGGGTGTGGGGGGGTCTGTGTGGTGGGGGTGTGGGGGGGGTCCTGTTTTGGGGGGTGTGGGGGTTTGGGGTGTGGGGGGGGTCTGTGTGGTGGGGGTGTGGGGGGGGTCCTGTTTTGGGGGTGTGGGGGTTTGGGGGTGTGGGGGTGTGGGGGGGTCTGTGTGGTGGGGGGGGTCTGTGTGGTGGGGGTGTGGGGGGTCCTGTTTTGGGGGGTGTGGGGGTGTGGGGGGGTCTGTGTGGGGGGTTTGGGGGGGGTCTGTGTGGTGGGGGGTGTGGGGGGTGTGGTGGGGTCTGTGTGGTGGGGGTGTGGGGGGGGTCCTGTTTTGGGGGTGTGGGGGTTTGGGGGTGTAGGGGTGTGGGGGTCTGTGTGGTGGGGGTGTGGGGGGTCCTGTTTTGGGGGGTTATGGGTGTTTGGGGGGTGTGGGGGTGTGGGTGGGGTCTGTGTGGTGTGGGGGTGGGGGGGGTCCTGTTTTGGGGGGTGTGGGGGTTTGGGGGTTTGGGGGTGTGGGGGGTCTGTGTGGTGGGGGTGTGGGGGGGTCCTGTTTTTGGGGTGTGGGTGTTGGGGGTCTGTGTGGTGGGGGTTGGGGGGTCTGTGTGGTGGGGGTGTGGGGGTGTGGGGGGTCTGTGTGGTGGGGGTGTGGGGGTGTGGGGGGTCTGTGTGGTGGGGGGTTGTGGGGGTGTGGGGGGTCTGTGTGGTGGGGGGTGTGGGGGTTTGGGGGGGTCTGTGTGGTGTGGGGGGGTTGTGGGGGGTGGGTTGTGGGGTTTGGGGTGTGTGGGGGTGTGGGGGGTCCTGTTTTGGGGGGTGTGGGGGTTTGGGGGTGTGGGGGGGGTCTGTGTGGTGGGGGTGTGGGGGGTCCTGTTTTGGGGTGTGGGGTTTGGGGGTGTGGGGGGGTCTGTGTGGTGGGGGTGTGGGGGGGTCCTGTTTTGGGGGGTGTGGGGTTGTGGGGGTTGGGGGGTGTGGTGGGGGTGTGGGGGGTCTGTGTGGTGGGGGTGTGGGGGGGTCTGTGTGTGGTGGGTTGGGGGGTCTGTGTGGTGGGGGTGTGGGGGGGTCCTGTTTTGGGGGTGTGGGGGTTTGGGGGTGTGGGGGGTTCTGTGTGGTGGGGGGTGTGGGGGGGTCCTGTTTTGGGGGGTTGTGGGGGTTTGGGGGTGTGGGGGGGTCTGTGTGGTGGGGGGTTGGGGGGTCTGTGTGGGGGGTGTGGGGGGGGGTCTGTGTGGTGGGGGGTGTGGGGGTGTGGGGGGGGTCTGTGTGGTGGGGGTGTGGGGGGGGTCCTGTTTTGGGGGGTTGTGGGGGTTTGGGGGGTGTGGGGGTGTGGGGGGGGGTCTGTGTGGTGTGGTGTGGGGGGGGTCCTGTTTTGGGGGGTTGTGGGGTATTGGGGGGGGGTCGTGGTGGGGGGTGTGGGGGTTGGGGGTGTGGGGGGGGGTCTGTGTGGTGGGGGTGTGGGGGTTTGGGGGTGTGGGGGGGGTCTGTGTGGTGGGGGTGTGGGGGTTGTGGGGGTGTGGGGGGGGTCTGTGTGGTGGGGTGTGGGGGTTTGGGGGGTGTGGGGGGGGTCTGTGTGGTGGGGGTGTGGGGGGGTCCTGTTTTGGGGGGTGTGGGGGTTTGGGTGTCGCTGTTGCCGTTGCGGATCGTGTTCTCCCCAAACAGTGTCCGCGCACCTGCCGCCGAGTCCTTGGAAACCAATCAGCGCGCTCGGTGCTGGAGGGCGGACACGCTCAGCCAATGGGCGAGGAGGATATTTGGTGTTGGAGGAGGCGCGTGTGCGTGTTTTGTGTGTGTGTGTGTGAGTCAGGTCAGCGCGCGCTGTGCCGCTGTGCCGCTGTGTGGGCGCTGTGGCTCTGCCTCCGGCAATGGTCAAACACACTATCAAGATCTCCGCGCGGCTCCGGCCCACCAACAGCCCGACTGGGGTGAGTGTCACAGTGAGGGGCTGTGGGGACACTCCCCCCTCCCCTCCCCTCCCCTGTGCACTCCCCTGACCACTCGCCGTTCACAGCCACTTTGTACACTCACACTAATGAAATTATAATAATAATTATTATGATTATTATAGCATCTTATCACGTTGCTGAGACGTCTCAAAGCGCTTCACAGGATGTACTGTAAAGGGAATTGACTGTATAGGTGGAGGTTTAGTGGTTAGAGCGTTTGCCTCACAAGAGCATAAATAGTAGATAGTATTAATAATCCTCGCATTTCATATATATATATTTGAGTTCAATTCCCGGCAGAGGGCGAAACCTTGGGCAAGTTTCCTTACTCCACACAGAGCCTAATAATAATCCCTCCAAAACCCAAAACAATAATAAATTGGTCATTTTCAATCTACGACTGTTTGTGGGACATTGCTGTGCGCAATTGGCGGCCGCGTTCGCCCACAAATGTACAGTCAATTCACTTTACAGTGTGTTCTGTGAAGCGCTTTGGGACGTCCTCCCGACGTGAAAAGCACTATATCAAATGCAAGGATTATTATTATTATTATTATATAGCGCCTTATCAAGTCTTCGAGACGTCTCAAAGTGCTTTACAGAATAGACTGTACAGTGAATTGTCTGTATGTTTTGTGGGTGAAATGCGACAGCCAATTGCACACAGCAGTGTCCCACATGTATGACGATCCAGATTTGTTTGTAGACTTATTCCATAGATGAAGAAGATAATGGAAATCCACTCCTGGAGTTTGTTGTGCCACACAACTCTGCTGATGGATATATAAACAATAAACGAGAAAGCTATAAATTTAAGTAAGTATAGTGATTATTTATTCCTCTTGTATCAGAGTGAAGTGGACTACTACGCTGATAAACCTTGGAAGGCAAAAGATTAGAATTAAACTGAGGTGGGAATTTACATTTTTAGTTTTATATTCATAAGGGCAGCTCACTTAGGTAAGGAACTTGAACAGTTTGACATTTTTTGAAAAACAAACTTTTGCTTTAATTTTCCTGTTTTGCTGTATTCATTAAATACACGAGCAAGATCACCCACTTGTTAAATTTTTGTCAGGATGTGGGAAGGCAGGATGGGTTGACTTACTCTGATTACATTAATAAGTTGGAATAAAATTCCAAAGTGAAATATAATAGAATGAAATCTACCTACTGTGTTTGTGCTGTATATCTGTGGCAGTGTCACCACTTCAGAATGAGAATTATTCCAGGTGTACCTCCTTTTCAGAACTCATTTGGTTGGGACTGGGGAGCAGGTGCAGATTCATCCCTGAGCCAGAGAAACTGATGGCTGTGATTAGAAACTTGAGTCTTTATAATAACCATTGATGCGATAAATAATGATTTATTTAACAAACCACCTCTTGATTTCATGTCAGCATCTGTTTGAGTCTAGTAGCAGATTTTACTGCTTCACGTTTGAACAACCCTGAAGCCTTTTGATGTCAAATTTACATAACAGGAAAATATTGAATTTTTTGGGTTCACGTCATGGTTTCTGATCAAAAAGAATTGCACTTACAAAACCCAGGTCTTAATACAGTGTGAAAGATTTACTGTACAAAATGATTCATTAGGATTGAGAAACATTTTCATTTTTTGCTAGCTTGTTTTACATTTGACTTGATTATTATGTTTCTTATATCTAATCGCCAGATTGAAGACATTTGGATTGTATTTAGGGTTCAGGGTGGGGTGAAGCCATAGAGGAATTTGAAAGTGAGGCCAAGAATATTGAATTCAATCTGCTGGGGAGCCAGTGTAGCCAGGCAAAGATGGGGGTGATGGGCTTCCAGATCCTGGAATGGGAGAGGACATTGGCTGCAGTTCTGGATAGTTTGCAGTTTATGTGGGGAGGAACTGGCGAGTCTAACAAGCATAGCACAAGAGTAGTTGAGGCTAGAGGTGAGGAAAGTGGATAAGGGTCTCAGGATTCTAGGGGCAGTGTTATGGTGGAGGTGGATGTTTTGCAGAGGTGAGGAAAACAGAGCATGTGAGAGTTCTGATATGAGGTTTAACATGCTACTTTGCTACTTCCTTTGATAATAAAATTTAAGGCCGGTCTCAAGATCCTTCTTTTCGATTGTGCCTTTGGTTGCCCTCCCACATCTCTGCCTTCCCTCACCCCTACACCACCCCTCCCCCATGCTTGGGCCCCGACACCTGACTGTTCAGTGCTTTGGGACATCTTCCCGACGTGAAAAGCGCTCTATAAATGTCATTTTGTTGTTGTTGTTGTATAGCTTCCTTTGTAATAATACTACCTTGCTTATAATGTAACCCGAGGACACCGATTTAAGTTAGTTGTTAAAAGAAACAGGGGAGGTTAGGAAAAAAAATTTCACTGAGCGAGTTGTTCGAATCTGGAATGCATTACCTGAAAGGGTAGTGGAAGCCGATTCAGTAACAACTTTTAAGAGAGAAGTAGATGGGTATTTGGGGAGGACAGGATCACAGGGCTATGGAGAGAAAGCGGGCCAGTGGGATTGAGTTGGATTGCTCTTTTAGGAGCCAGCGCAGACACGATGGGCCGAATGGCCTCTTTCTGTGCTGTATGATTCTGTAGACCCATGCTAACCAGAAGCAGACATCTGGCTTCCAGTGCTGAGGAGCCTCTTCCCATCCTTAAAATATGGTCGACTTCTGGGTCATCAGTTTGCCACTGAGATCACTTCACAAAGGAAGTGACATCTCCTGTGCTTCCTGCATGTAGTATAGGTTTTCTGATATGCAATTGGAGCGGTGAGCTTTAATGGAAATAGGTTTGTTGAGAACTTTTAAATAATCAAGAGCCTTGGATGTTTATCTCTCATCTGCTTCCCAACACAAGGACTAATTTCAGTTCACATTACAACAGCAACTTGCATTTATATCGTGCCTTTCATGAAGGAGAGTCTTGGCGCACTTTACAAAGCCGAGTCTGACACCAAGCAAGGGAGAAAGGAGAGGTGATTTAGACGTGGGCAAAGAGGTAGGTTTTGAAGGCATGACGCAGGAGAGAAGGAGGGATTTCCAGTGGTGAGGTGTGCAGTATCTGAAACTAGGTGAATGCATATAAGCCCTTGACAAAAGGCTTAATTCTTAAAAGATAATGATTAAATTGTGAAAATATTAGTACAATTGGAGGAAAAAAGTTTTTTAAATTTGTATTTGTTGAAGATTTTAGCTTTTAGCCACATTATGTATGTAAGATTCATCAGACCTACTATACTCTGTATTGAATCTGATCTGAATAAACAAAGCAATTACGTGTGAATGCTTCAGTGAACAAGCTCTTAACTGTAACTTATGATCTTGGAACTAAGATCATAGAAAATTCCTTGCAAAGTGACTTACTCAGACACATCTGAATTAGGTCTCAACAGTCTTTTGGAGGTAATAAGCCTAGTTATGTTTTGTAGAACATGTTAAAGAACATGTTCCAAAAAACAATCCAAGTACTAATATAAACTAGGAAATTGCTTCAATTGCATAATCCTATAAATGATCATATAGTTTGGATGTTACTATTGTTTTCTATTTTACAGATTCCAGAAAATCTTTGATCAAGATGCAAAACAAGAGGATGTTTTTGATATTATTGCCAAACCTGTTGCAGAAAGGTGAGGTTTAGTATTATATATTTTCAGTGCCTTGGGACGTCCTCCTGACGTGAAAGGCACTATACAAATGTAATTTGTTGTTGTTGGGGGAGTTGGTGGCCCCAATGTGTGTATAGTTATGATTTCCCATTTCCCTGCCTCCTTAATGATTGGAAGCATCTTTCTATGTACCATTTAAATAACAACAATATCTTGCATTTATATTGCGCTCCTCACGCAGGATAGCGTCTGAGAACTTTACAAGTTTTCTATGCTTGTGTAGTCAAATTGAACATTTGTTAAATTTTTCAATCTGATTTATATTCATCATAAGTTTTTATAGAATGTTTGAGTTACCTTTAATATACAAGGGCAATTTTAGAATAGTGCCAGGAAGTTACCAAGGAAGGATGGTTGAAGGCAGGAGACTGATTTCATGATCGACATTCATTTGGTGGCTATAATGAGACGATATTCTGGAAGAACGAGATCAAATGGAAAGAAGGGACTTCTTCATTCAAAACTTTTCATGTGATCCATTCCTTAGAAGTCTTCCATGTTTGTTAATTGCTCGTTATCTATGTGTTTATTTAAACTTTTATCAAGATTAGTTCCTTCTGTTTGAAATTATGCATTTGTTAGCAGGCTGTGTTGACGCTGTATGAAACAAATATGCAGTGTTCTACTTTGCTAGTTCATGCATGATATTTCGGTGAATTGATAGAAGTTCAAGGTAATTATGTAAAACATTTTAAATGTTCACTAACCTTTTATTACAATTAATACGGCACACAAAATGCTTAATCATCAAACTGTTGAATATTCCATAGCTTACTATGTCTGCTAATTAATAAAAAATCTAATCACATTACGATAGACATTTCAGAAGCTCCAATATTCTGGAAACCCTTGGAGGAAACAGTGGTTGGAATAGCAGTTCTGTCAGGTGCTTCTCAACAAGGAGCAAGGGAAAATTGGACGGCTAGCCGGTTATCGAATCTCTGTTTCAGAGTTCCAATGGCTGAGTCCTGTTAGCACTTCCAAGGATTTCTAGCACATTGCAGGCTTCTGGAATGTCTATCGTAAATAAAGACATTTATTAATTAGCAGACATAGTTGCTGAATGGAATATTCAATAGATTGCTGCTTAAGCATTTTGTGTGCCGTATTAATTGTAATAACAGGTTAGTGAACATTTAAAATGTTCTACCTAATTATCTTGAACTTCTATCAATTCACCCAGTCTCCCAGTTTAATAATAATCCTTATAATAATCCTTGCATTTGATAACATGTATGAGTAGGCCATTCGGCCCTTTGAGCCTGTCCCGCCATTCAATCATGGCTGATCTTCTAATCTTACTCCAGCTAATAACCTGACCCTGCCTTATCCCATTATCCCTTAATCCCTTTTGCAATAAGAAATCTGTCTATCTCAGTCTTGAATATGTTCAAGGACTGAGCGTCAACAGCCCTTTGGGGTAGTGAGTTCCATACATTCACCGCCCTTTGAGTGAAGAAGTTCTTCCTCAACTCAGTGTGAAAGGACTGCCTCTGATTTTAAGGTTGTGACCCCTGGTTTTAGTTTCTCCAACCAGGGGAAACAATCTCCCACTATCTACTCTATCATGCCCTTTGATGATCTTATAGACTTGTGGAGTCCTGTAGCTCAGTGGTTAGAGCACTCGCTTTGCAAGTGAGAGACCTGAGTTCATTTCCAGGCAGAGGGCGAAACCTTGGGCAAGTTTCCTTACTCCACACAGAGCCTAATAATAATCCCACCAAAAAACTAAAAACAATAATTAAATTGGTCATTTTCAATCTACGACTGTTTGTGGGACATTGCTGTGCGCAATTGGCTGCCGCGTTCGCCCACAAATATACAGTCAATTCACTTTACAGTGTGTTCTGTGAAGCGCTTTGGGACGTCCTCCTGACGTGAAAAGCGCTATATCAAATGCAAGGATTATTATTATTAGGATTATTATTATAGGTTTCTATAAGATCCCCTCTAATTCTTCTATATTCTAGAGAATATAGGCCCAAATTGGTCAGCCTATCCTCGTAACTCATCCCCTTCATCCCTGGTACTAAAAGGCGACACAGTATTCCAGGTGTGGTCTCACCAGGGCCCTATACAGTTGCAGCAAGACTTCCCTACTCTTATACTCTAATCCTTTCATAATGAATGCTAACATACCGTTCGCCTTCCTAATTGCTGCTGCACCTGCAGACTAACTTTCTGTGATTGGTGTACAAGGACACCCAAGTCCCTCTGGACGCTAACACATTCCAATCTCTCCCCTTCTAAAAAATAACCCGCTCTACTGTTTTTGCTACTGAGGTGGATGACTTCGCAACTTCCCTACATTATACTTCATCTGCCACCTACCTGCCCAATCACCTAACCTATCTATGTCTCGCTGCATTTTTTTAATGTCGTCCTCTGTGTTGACACTTCCTCCTAGTTTTGTGTCATCTGCGAATTTAGATATATTAACTTCGATGTCCTCATCCTGATATAGCTCTTTTTCACGTCTTCTAGATGCCTCAAAGTGCTTCACGGAATAGACTGTAAAGTGAATTGACTGGTAACTGCTGGAGTTTAACCAGCTAAACCTGCATAGCTTGCTATTGATAATACTGTCAATTTTGAAGGATTATTATCAGGCGCTTGCCTGATAATGAAGGAAACTTGCCCAAGGTTTCGTCTTTCCGGGAATTGAACCCTAGTCTCTCCTTTGATGCTTTTCCATGTATTCAACCACTCTTCAAATCAGTTAAAGATGATCCCTAAATCTTAACAGTCAAAAGTTTCCAGCCATGTCGCTTGATTCTTCTTTAAGTAATAGTGTTAAGTAATAGTGTTAAGTAATAGTGTTAAGTAATAGTGTTATGATAGTTACTTGTCAGTCTTCAGAAATCACTCTGGAATTTAGCAACTGTACATCAATTCACTAATTTCAGTCCCAAAGTTCTTTAATACTTGGGTAGATATTGTGTGGGCCAGAAGCCCCTCCTCCCCCAACAGGGGGAACCTTAGAACACAAAATATACACTTTGAGACGTCTCAAAGATGTGATAAGGCGCTATATCAAATGCAAGTATTATTGTCTTAACATTTTAGATTGTGCAGAAGTTTGGAAAGTTCTTCCCTAAATCGGAGATCTTTTCAAATTTCTGCACAATCTTTCATTTTTAAGACAATGGCTATGAGAATTTTGTCCATCATGCCAGATCTCGGGATTTTTCAGGGGAACCATATTCGATTTGAGTACTTGGCAACTTTGTACATGTTTAAAAGTATTTATTATGTGAAATGTTCTTTTGCATTCAATGTTTCTAATATATGCAGGACTTGGCACCTACCCTAATTAGTATGTCAGTTGGTGAATCTTGAATTCGATCCTCTGAGGGATGGGGAGCCAGTGGAGTCGGGCAGGGTGGGAGTCACGGAGCCTGGTGCACGAGATTACATGAGCTGCAGAGTTTTGGATGATTTGCAGCTTGTGGAGGGAAGAGTTGGGAAGGCCGATGAGGGAATTTCCATAATCGAGCCTTGATGTGACGAATGCGTGGGTGAGGGTTTTGGCAGCCTGAGGGGTGAGACAGTGGCGGAGTCTGGCAATGTTGTGGAGGTGGTGGCAGGCAGTGCCCCTCATGGCATGGATGTGGGGAAGAAAGGACAGTTCAGGGTCAAACAAGACACCCAGGTTCCTGATGTGGAGCCATGGAGGCTGATGTTGCCAGCGCCTGAGGTGCAGAGGCGCTGGTGTGAGCTAATCAGGAGGGCCTCGGTCTTGCTGATGTTCAGCTGGAGAAACTTGGACTTGATGTCGGACAGGCAGTCAGTCAGGACGCCAGTAGTCCTGGAGTTGAGGGTGGAGGCAGAGAGATAGAGTTGGATGTCATCTGCATACATGTGGAAATTTACCCCATATCTGCGGATGATGTCACCAAGGGGGAGCTCTGGTCACACATGGTCAGGATGTCGTTTGTGACCTTGACCAGAGCAGTTTCCGTGCTGTGAGCAGCATGGAAACCTGATTGGAGGGGCTCATGGAGGGAGTGGGAGGAGAGGAAAGAGTGAAGCTGGGAGGCAACTGCTCTCTCAAGGACTTTGGACAGAAAAGGGAGGTTGGCAATGGGCCGGTAGCTGGTTAGCTGTCATGATTCAAGGGAAGGTTTCTTCAAGATGGGGGTGATAGTGGCTGTTTTGAGTGGGATAGGAACAGTGCCAGGTGACAGGACGAGGTTGATGATGTCGGCGAGTAGTGGGGCAAGAAGATGGAGTTGGGATTTAAGGAGAGGGGTGGGGATGGGGTCCAGGGAGCAGGTCGGTGGGCTTCATGGAGGATATGGTGACGATGATAGAGGAGGATGACAGGTTCAAAGGTGTGGAAGGAGGGATAGGTAGTGATCGGAGTGTGGGGGGGGAGTAGAAAGGGGGTGGGAGGGCAGTGGCAGCTGAGTGGATTCCCTCGATTTTGGACTCAAGGAAGTCCAGCATTTCCTCACAGTGGGAGTCGGAGGAAAGAAGGTGCGAGGCGTGGTGGGGAGGGCGTAGGAGCTGGTTGGTGGTGGAGAACAGGAGCCTGGGGTTGCCCTTCGCCTCCAGGATTAATCTGGAATAGAAGGACGATTTGGCCGAGGCAAGAGGGGAGTGGTAGGTTTTGATGCGGTCCAGCCAGATGTGCCGGTGGACTGTTAGGCCGGATTTGAGCCAAGTGCGTTCGGCAGACTGCACCTGGCCCTTGAGCGAGCAGAGGTGGCTGGTGGACCAGGGTGAGCATCGGGAATAGGAGGCAGTTCGGGAGGTGAGGAGGGAAAGGGCGTCGAATGTGTTGGAGAGGGTGCTGTGATGGAGAGTAAACGCAGAGGATGGGTTGGTGCGGGAGGTGGGCCAGAGGGCGAGGAGTTCAGAGGACTCCAGAGCAGTGGAGAGGGATTGTGGGGAGATCTTTCATGGGTGGTAGGAGATGGTGGTAGGTTTGGAGGCAGTGGGGAGAGGGATACAGGAGT